CCCGTGGAGAGCTACTTGATGTTTTGTGTGCACCCTGGGTCAAGATCCTACAAGAGAATATTGCACAACTCATTGTCAAATTGATAATGTGAGATAAATGACTATTGAAAAAACTCATGGTGTCTATTTACTTTTGAGATGTCTCTGTATATATATACATTGTACATACATACATAGGAAATAAATTATAAGAAATGTTTGAGGTAGTTAACTTTAGGCATGTAGTCTTGTAAATCTTACCATTATATTTAGTTTGGTACAATACACATAAAATTTCAAGATGATACATACCTCTTCACACACACAAAGCTGTCTTCCTTGTGTGTCTGCCTTAGAGATTTGCATGCTACTAGTCTTTAGGCAAATCCCACTTAAATTCACAAGATTTCTCGTGATTTGTGCTATTGTATAATGATGCTGTTATGCAGCAAAAGCCTTCCATCAAAGTGGGCAAGACATCCTTCTAGTGCACTAATTCCCTCTATGCTCTTGCACTCATGATCATTCTTTTTTTCCTTGACATTGAACGTATTAGATGTATTTTGCTTTTCTCAATTTATAGAGATTTGCAGTAGATTAAAGGACTTTGTTTCCTTTTTCCTTCCAATTATGAACTCTCAAGTTCATGTAACTTTAACTTCTAGCATGAGTGAGGAATATCCTCACACTAGTTAAGTTCCACACTTGGCTACTGGAAGCCCATTAAAACTGGATGATGTGATTTTCATTGTGCATAGGGTAGTGGGTTTCATTATGCAGCCGGAAGTTTTGGTGCCCTGCCGTTCATCTGGTGTTCCTTCCCCTCGTTTTGAGGAGATGCACGAAGAGGATGACAACTCTGACAATTTGTTTCATCTAACTGGTTATGCACTAGGAATCACTCTTCCTCTTGAAAAAAATTTTCATGTTTCCTCCCATTATTAGGACATTATATCTCAGGTATGTTCTGTTCTCTCTTGTTCCTGTGTTACATGACACTTCTTGTTCCCTCCTCCATAACCCTCACCCTGGCAAGTTTTGTTTTCCCTCTTCTCCCGATATTAGCTTTCACACTAATTCCTTTCTAGACCATCTCTGTTCCCATGATATTATGCCTCATCCTTCTCACCTTTATTATTCATATATATATATCACAGCATACAGTCATTCTGACTTCCGTTTCCTGAAGTCACAGACCTTGGTGTCTCTATTATCTCTCCAGTGCCCAATTCTCTTGACTTTGCTTAATCCTTCTATCTGTGCTTTATTATCCCTACACCACATGTCAGAGGCATTTCTCAGAGCAATGGATGAGTTTACTGGCAATTCCTGTTCCCTTTCCTTTCTACTGCATAAGCTAAGGGGGATTGCTGACAGGCAATTTAAATGATGAAGTAGTAGTACGGGCCTCCACCAGATTCGAATGAGATATGTAGTCATTGAAGAACTCAGCAAGCCTGACATCAGGTCAAAGACAGTCGGGTTGAAGGAAAAGGTAAGGAAATATGAGAATCATGGGAAATAGGACAAGAGCGAGGAGTAGGAGGTTGGGACAATCAAGAAAACAAGCCTCATCTGTCGAGGTGTGTACATCTTTGGGAACAACTCTACAGATAGATAGGTTACTATTGTTTTCACTCATGGACTCTTCCCCAATTTTCCTCACTTCCCTCTCTTGGTCCACCCCAGTTTGCTTCCTCTTTTTTCATATCCTGTCTATCTTCAATGTCTGGAAGATCTTGTGTTAGATCTTTGGTGCAAACAGGACATAGAAAGGGTGTGTGACCCTTCTCTGTGGTTTTGCTCCCATCTTACCACAGTTCCAAAAACAACTGGGGACTGGTGACTTGTTTTCAGTCTTTCATCCTCAAATGATTCCTGGTCGCCCCTCATTTTCATATGTAAAATTTCTTTTCCCTCAGGTGGACCTTTTCACTGGGACTATGGATGACTAAGGTCAACATCTCAGACGTTTTCCTTCATATTCTATCACAGAGTCTTCCCAGTGTTTTCATATTTTCCAGTTCCATGTTTTTCTATTTGGAATTGCATTGGCCCTTACATCTTCAACAGAGTGCAAAAACTGGGTCTGAAATTCCACCTTTATATGGATGATTGGTTTGTTCTGTCTCACTCACAGGCAGAGTCCTCCCTTCACACCTCCAATATTCTGAAGAGACTGTCCATTTAGGTTGACTTGTCAATATTTCTAAATCCTTTCTTATCCCTAACCACTATCTCACTCATTTAGGGGTGTTCTTCAATTCCCTTTTCAGCTGGGCCCAACCTTCTCCTATCCACCTGCAGGCTATGGAGCTTTCACTTACCAGGATGCGAGCCTCTCCCACTTATTCTACATGAACAGTTGTATTGCTTTTGGAGATCATGTCTTCTCTGGAGCCACTTATTCCTCTAAATTGTGCTCATATGTGCCACCTCCAGTGGTCCTTGCATGATGACCAGTAGAACCATTTGAGGGAACCTTTGGACTCATTGATTCATCTATCCCCCTCATTTTCTCAACAACCTTTTGTGGTGGCTTGACTGCTCCAATACCACTGTTTTTGTGCTTCTTCCTCCACTCAAACCCAACTTACACCTTTTCAACAATGCTTCTCTTTCTGGATGGGGATTCCATCTGAACATCCTTACATTGGGCTCTTGGACCCAAGCAAATCTTCCCTCCACATCAACATGCTCAAACCTTTGGCTCTGATGGTCTTGCTGCCCTAATTTGCCTGAACAGTTTCTTCAGGTGGTCATCACTTTTAGCGCGAGTATTGAGATTAAGTGTATCGCAGAGTTCTATTCGGAAAGAATAAACCAGTTTTATTAAGTAAAGACTTGTGTCGTTAAAATTTCGTGTTAAAATTTCGTCGGAACGAAGTTACGGAAAAATCAATTAACAAACGGAGACGTAAC